GACTTTTTTCTTTCATTATCTCAGATTTAAAAGCACATTATCTGTCCATTATCTAACCATTAAATCAGCCAGACATTATTCAAGTGATAATCAAACAAATCAATAAGTAGGATAAGAACTTAAAAGCCACAAACACAGGTTTTGCTCAAAACTAAATCGTTTTTTTTTTTAAATCATGGTAACCTAAAATTACATGAACTAAACAAAAGAATCATAAATGGTGGATTGTCTTATTAATTACACCTCCATGAGGGCCATAGAAGGTAGCCTGAAACAGCACATTAATAATGATTATTCATGTTCTTTCTCACTTTTTAGAAAGAATATAGAAAAAGCAAATCAGTGTCAAATAAAGCCTTGGTAATGGCCACTATTTAAAACTTTAAATCCATGTTTCTCTTTCATTTATATCCAAGAATAAAAACCTGTTGAAATATTGACCATTAATACCAATATTTCCAATCCAAATCAAGCCCAAACAAAACATGTTGACAATCAGGTTTTGTGGGTAGATTTTATAAACCCCAACCAGTTTTTTATAAAATTTAGAAATCAATAATCTAAGCGCTAAGATCTTTCACTTTCATAAAAAGTAAATGATGTTTAGTGGGAAGCCAGCTTTCCGTCTTTTCTTGGTGGGATTGAAAGGACTAATATTCACCTGTTAATATTTGTAATATTTGTATTGATGACATCCAACAAAACTGGATCAATGGTTAAACTAACTTCTCTGATGTCATCAATTTAGTTTTTCTTAATGGGAATCATTGCAAGGAAAACCAAAGTTCATTCCGGTTTATGTTAATTTTAGGGCTTGATAGAAAATGTATAAAAGGATCTTTGGAGCCTATAATGGTCATTAGGTGTCAGGAATTCATGCTGTAAAGCTGGTTGCATATTTGTGGAGTTGGAAGGACTCTAATTCATTCATCGTTTAGTGTGTTATTGCTTTTAATTTCAGAGGTGTAGGAATACATGATGCAATAGGAAATATAGTGGCAGAGCCTTACTGTATAATGCCAGGTACAAAGTAGTACAAGCAGCTCATGCCATGTTTGCAACTCATGCATGGGATGACTTCAAACAAAAATGTAAATAAAAAAAAAAAAAAAAAAATCCTCCTTCCTCATATTTACTTTGTATAAGACACATTTTTCAACAAGCCAACAAACACGCTACAGAGGGAACAGTTACAACAGCTCAAGGGCTTTACTGATGTCTTTCCTGTGTTAACACACATGATCACTCCAGCCCAGCAAAGTGCCATAACTCTTGCTTTTTATAGAGGTGGTCAACCTTGTGATGACCAGTTCATAAAGTGCTTTTGATTACTACAGCTAGGCTCTGATTTACTCGCTCTGACCTGCCAAAGCAGCAAGGGATTACTTTAGATTTACGGCAGTAAAAATTTTCTTTTAGAAATTGAAACAAATAGATTTTGTCATTTTAAAATATTTATTCAGAGAAGAAAAAAATTTATTATTTAAAATTAACTGAGTTAAAAAAAACAAAACAACTCCATTGTAGTAGAAATAGATGCAATCCCTCTAATAAACTTTTAAATTGTTTGAATGATTTTGTTTTAATATATTCTGCTATTGTTATCCCATTTTTGTTTGGTGTTATTCATTAGATAGACCTGTTTACTGCTCTAATGGCCAGATCCTTTTGGAGTCTGAGTGAAATGTGTTTTCTGCAAGGATCTAATCAAATACACAAGATCAGGAATCTGCTCACCTCCTTCCTGTGTTTGGATCCTACTCTTTTATTAAAAACATGATCAGAGTGCCTTTAGAAGTCTAATTCAGATCTCTCAAAGGCAGCATCGAAGCCATTTTCAACCCTTGAAGCAGTTTTGTGTAGCGGTCCCAGAATGGTATTTGTCCCTTAAGAAAATCGAGCTAATGTAGACAAACTTCTTTTTATCTTTTTAGGACACGATTTTTCTGACAAGTTAATATATTCTTAAATCAAAAATATAAGAAGCAAAAGAGAGCATTTTATTTTATTTAGCCATGTGTTCTTCCTTTAGTCAGACTTACTGTATATAATACAGCACACCATAAAATATAAGAAATTGTGCACCTTTCTATTCTGAAAGCAAACATCTTCAAACATTTTTCAGACTATAATTATTTCTTTTCATCTTTGTTTCAAAATAAATATTAATAAGTCAGTTATGGGGAAAAAATTGTCCTGATTAAACAAGTTGGATACCACTTCTCTAATTGATAATCAGTTATTTCTAACGTACCCTGTTTATACAGTATATAATTATGTATTTCTCTTACCAATCTTCAAAATGAAAAACAAGACAGATCTATGTTGATCTTCATTAGGAAATGAAGAAAACACCTCTATATTAGCCCACATCCACAGTGAGAGGTGAGGCAATGCTGGATCTATTTATCTTGCAATTACAGAAAGGAAGAAAGGCAGTAGAGCTGGTTAAAACACTTCAAAGATCACTTTTGAAGAATCTCAAACAAACAATAATTTTTTTTATGTATCTTAGGAAAATGTGGAAGGTGCTGCATCTAGATTGATCAAACTACAATGGAAACACTCAGCTATATTTATCTCAATATTCTTACATTTGAAGCCCATTTCAAGCTCTTTCATTTTAACTAAGCAGCTATAATTATCCCCCACCCACCCCACCCCACCCCCTGACCATGTCGCTGTGTGCTTCCTCTGATTTTACCACATCACATAAATTAAGGTGCTTTGTACTTAATAATGAACATATCCTGAAACAAGTTCTTTTATAGATGGTTTGAAAAAGTTTAGCACATCGTAGTTTATCCAAGTGTCTGTTTAGGCCTGAGGCATAACCAGAAAAACTTCAGAGGATGAGTAGATTTCACAGTATGCACCAATTACTGCTGCCATTGTGACCTTCTTTGATGCTGTTAGCTAATAAGCTCTCAGGTCTGACCTTCTGCTTGACGAGCCGGGTCATAGCAATATTTGTTTTTTGTTTAGCTACATAGAGAGAGCAAAGGATGCAGCCAGAAAGTAGGGGGGAGTAAATGAAAATGTAAATGTTCTTTTACCTGTTGACCCACGGTTTTTCTTGCCAACTGTCCGTCAGCCAAAGAAAATGAGACGGAAAAAAATTATATAAGTTAGAGAAAAGCGCAGACAGGTGGTGGAGAAGGAGAAAAAAAGGGGCGCGATATAATTTAGATTTGTTGTATTTCCTCGGGGTGTAGCAGAAGGGCACTTTAAGGAAATGCAAATAAAAAGAAGCAGAAAAAAAAAGAAAAGACCAACATTCACAAATCACACCCTTAAAGACATCTAAAAGCTTGAGAGGAAAACTGGATAAGGAGGCTCTTTCAGTGAGCAGCAGGAAATATAAATACAGCCTGAAAGAGAAATGACATAGAAATGGATGACAGAGAGGAACAGACAGAGTAAAAGTGAGGATGCTACGTTATCATGGAGTCCAGAGAAAGACGAACTGTTTTCTGCTCATCCATCAACTGACAGCTACCAAACTTTCCCCCTCATTCACTCTTCTTCTCCTTCCCTTTATCTTTCCCTGTTTCCAATGCTTCTTGTATTTGTCACGACTTTAGAGAGAGCAAGACTCTAGTTTCTGCGTAAGGGATGGGAATGATGTTCTGCTTACAGAAGATGTACATTGACTATTCTATCTGTATACTTCCTCATTGTGCCTCTATTCAGCCCATCTGACTCTCACTCCAATCTGAAATACTGAAAACAGAATAAAAACAAGAAAAGGATAAATTAAAATGACTTAAGTACTTGTAACTTTTACCAAAAAGATTTAAAAACATAATTTTTCCCACATTTTTAAGATCATACTTCCTTTAAATGTCCTCAAATGCTGCCATCAGACATATATTCATATTGGCTTAGAATAGCTGAAGGAAAATAAAATACTAAAGAGATTTACATCTATGTTTTTCAAAAACAAAATGCACTCAAATAAAAATAAAACTTATTGTAGCTGCAGTATAGAATACTATCCCTTTGGTTTTTCAGCATCACAGCAACATTTACAACATTTTATAGGGTTAAATTTAGCTTGCAGCCCAGGAAGAGCTGTTTATGATGCACCTATAGAAGAGAGCATAAATTAAACACTTAAATGTCCTAACAACAACAGCAGCACCTGTACAAGTACCCCAGTATTACACTTTCCCATTATAAACATTAGGAAAATGCAAACCCGTAAACAACACCCACTAATGGGTAGCTTTAATAAATGTTCCGGAATATAAAAACAAATAAAGCCCAACTAAGGATCTGGGTTTAAAATGCCTTCAAAATGTAGACAAAAAAATCAAGAATTCATAAACAAAACATAAATTTTTCTACATGTTTACCTATGATTACTTATTAAATCCAAGCAAATAAAAATAAACTATTTCACCTTTCTAAAAGCATAAATATGACAATCGAGTAACATGAAAATCACATTTTTATCTTTAGGTTGTTGATTAAATTCACAAGCAAATACTTTCTTATTGTAGGACCGAAGTGATCTGTAAAATGATTTAAGCCTAGATTGATTAAATTATTCATTGTTGGGAGCTGGAGAAGTTCCACCTTCCTCCAGCAGAGTCCGCCGTGGATCCTCCTGAGCTGAGCTGCCTGCACACCTGCGACTGATCATCTCATCAGGAGGACCACAGTACTTAAGCTGTCTTCAGACCTTGCCTCAACGCCGCAGTGTTTAATCAGTTTGGTTAGCACCTAAGCCTAGAACCCCCTGAGAACTTTGCTATCTCTGAGTCCAGTTTGGATTCTAACCTTTTTGTCTCTGCTTCCAGGTTACCTGTTTTTCTCCTGTGAAGCTCTGGAAGAGCTTAACCTGCCCAGCCTGCCCTCTGAGCCAAACCTGAAGACTCTCTTCTGGATTTCCAAGCAGCTCTGGATTTAGAGCTGGGAACTCAAACCAAGGTCAACACCCTCACTAGAAGTAAGACGCTGAAACACTTATCGGACTCTGCTGAACCAAACCATCTCCGGACCCAACAGTTCCTCTCCCAAAGTCTCTTCTACGCATCTCAAGGTACAAACCAGAATCTCTCAAGATCAATTCCAACCAAGCCAACGCTAACTGAACTGTCTCCCTCACAGACTCCAGTGAACCAGTCCCCAGGCCTGAACCAGCAAACTGTACATTTACTACGTGCTTGTGTAACAATAAACTTGTTAACTTTTCCCCTGAGTCCGTTGTGTTCTGCTTCTTGGGCCTCTCAGTAAACCCATCATGACAGAACACTGCGGCCAAACACAAGGCCCAGCAGATCACCTCCGCCGTCGATTGGAAGAGCAGGAGGCTCAAATCCATGGACACGCTCTGGCTCTTCGTGAGTTAAATACCCATATTGAAATGCAGAACCAAATGCTTCAGAGCTATGCTAGCTACATGAACAGCGCTAACGCCACGCCGGCGGCGCAACCATTTCCGGGTCCAGTTCCACCTCCGAGGTCACCGGCAGTGACGTCATCCGAGTTCCGTCCAAGTCTACCTGAGAAATTCTCCGGTAATGTAAAAGACTGCAAGGGATTTTTATTTCAATGCCGTCTAATTTTTCAGAACTCTCCTGGCAGTTTTCCCACGGACCACAAGAAAATAACTTTCATTTTATCTCAATTGACAGGAAGAGCCCTGGCCTGGGCTCAAGCCAGGTTTGCCTCGGATGAAAGCCTAGATTGTCAATACTCAGACTTTATTTTTGAGTTTTCTCAAGTTTTCAACCAGGAGACCGATCAAACCCTTGACTCTCGTGCTCTTTTTCATCTCAAACAGGGGAATTCGTCAGTGGCAGAGTTCTCTATTAACTTCCGGGTTAAGGCTGGAGCTTCCGGATGGAACCAAAGTGCTCTAAAGGGCGCCTATTTTAAGGCATTAAATGAAAATATAAAGGATGAACTGGCTACCCTCGATGAACCTGCTACTCTCGAGGAACTTATCCATTTGACAATTAAGCTGGATAACCGGATCCGAGCTAGAAACAGCCTCAAATACAGGAATCAGGGGTGGTCTTCCTATGCCCCCGCCTCAAATAATGTGACTGTTGTTTCTGCTCCTACAGAACAGTTATCCAGCCCGAAGCCTAAGATCCAGCCTCTCCCTTTGCCTGTTCAGGCTATACATATTGGAGAGACGGAGATCGAACCCATGCAGGTTGGACACACTAGGCTGACTCCTGAAGAAAGGCAAAGACGATTTTTTGGCAAGCTTTGCATCTATTGCGGTGAGAGTGGTCATTTCATCGCTTCATGCCCAGCGAAATCAAAAGCCGGGGCCCGTCAGAGGATCTGAGGAGTCTGGCGGGCCATGATAACTCTGAAAAATCTACTCGCCTTATGCTTCCAGCCACTTTATTTTTCTCGGACCAGAGCCTCTCATTATCTGCTTTCATTGATTCTGGTTGTGAGCGAAATTTAATTGATTCCAATCTTGTCCAACAGCTGCAAATTGAAACAGTTCCTTTAACCCAGCCTCTTAGTGTCTCAGCAATCGATGGGAAGAGACTTCACCAAGTAACCCATCAAACCCAACTGCTTGAGCTTCTGATCTCAGGTAATCATCGAGAAACCATAACTTTCTTTGTTTTTCCCTCCGCATGTTCCCCTCTGGTGCTGGGTTTCGAATGGCTGGAGAAACATAATCCCCATATTAACTGGACTGATCGTCATGTGGAGTCCTGGTCCACTCGATGTCATGAAACATGCCTCTGTACGGCAGCTCCCGCTGTGGGGTCCCCTAGAGGTGGGGGGGAGATGGACGTCCCTGACCTTTCTTCAGTACCTCCCGACTACCATGATCTGGCTCCTGTCTTTAGTAAGGTCAGTGCTACGTACCTTCCACCACACAGACCATACGACTGTGCTATCGAGCTATTACCCAGAGCCCCGCTGCCCAGCAGTAGACTTTACAACATCTCCAAACCAGAAAGAGAAACCATGGAGAAATACATAAATGAGTCCTTAGCCGCTGGAATAATTCGCCCCTCTTCGTCCCCTTTGGGCGCGGGTTTCTTTTTCGTTGGAAAGAAGGATGGTTCACTAAGACCCTGTATCGATTATAGAGGCTTGAACCAGAATAACAATCAAAAATAAGTACCCTCTCCCATTGCTCGCTTCTGCTTTTGAACCTGTCCAAGAGGCAACCGTTTTCACCAAGCTAGATCTGAGGAATGCCTATCACCTCCTCAGAATACGAGAGGGGGATGAGTGGAAAACAGCATTTAAGACTCCCTTGGGCCAGTTTGAATACTTGGTGATGCCCTTTGGACTAACTAATGCCCCTGCATGCTTTCAGGCCTTAGTGAATGATGTTCTCAGAGACTTCCTAAATGTGTTCGTGTTTGTCTACATAGATGACATTCTAATCTATTCCAAGGATCTTTCAGAGCATAAGAGACATGTCCGCCTGGTTCTTCAGAGACTGCTGGAAAACAAACTGTTCGTCAAAGCCGATAAATGTGAGTTTCATCAGTCTTCAGTAACTTTTTTGGGGTTTGTGCTCGAAGGCGGGCAGGTTAAGCCTTCAGAAGAGAAAATAAAAGCAGTTTTGGAGTGGCCGGTTCCAGAGAACCGTAAACAACTGCAGAGATTTTTGGGTTTTGCTAATTTCTACCGACGATTCATCAGAAACTACAGCCAAACCGCTCTCCCACTAACCTCCTTAACATCATCCAAGAGAACCTTCCAATGGACCCCCGAGGCTCAATCTGCATTTAATAAACTTAAAACTTTGTTTTCCAGAGCTCCAGTGCTGATCCAACCCGATCCGTCCAAACAATTCATCCTGGAGGTTGACGCTTCAGATTCAGGCGTGGGGGCAGTCCTATCCCAAAGACTCGACACGGATCAACAAATTCATCCATGTGCATTCTTCTCCCGTAGACTTTCTCCCGCAGAGCAGAACTACGACGTTGGAGACCGAGAGCTCTTGGCTATCAAATTAGCCTTGGAGGAATGGAGACACTGGCTGGAGGGAGCTGGATTTCGTCACTGGTCTCCCAATCTCTCAAGGTATGTCTACTATATTCACCATAGTTGATCGATTTTCCAAGTCCTGTCACCTTATCCCTCTCAGAAAACTTCCTACTGTCTTTCAAACTGCTCAGCTTTTGATCAAACACGTTTTTCGTCTCCATGGAATCCCACAGGACATTCTCTCTGATCGTGGACCCCAATTCATTTCCCAGGTTTGGAAGGCATTCTGTTCCGCATTAAACTGTAAGTCATCACTAACCTCTGGCTATCACCCGCAGTCCAACGGCCAAACCGAGAGGATGAACCAACACCTCGAGTCAACCCTCAGATGCCTAACTTCCAATAACCCCACCGATTGGAGTCAGTACATCACCTGGATCGAATACGCCCATAACTCTCTCAAGTCAGCTTCCACCGGTCAATCGCCTTTTCAGGTCAGTCTTGGCTATCAACCTCCTCTTTCCCCGCAGATGAGAGAGAGAGATATCGGTCCAATCCGTCAGTCAGCACATCCACCGTTGCCAGCGCATCAGGAGGGATACCATCACCTCTCTCAATCGTTCGCCTGAGACGACCAAACGATTCGCCGACACCAAGAGACGTCCTGCCCCTGAGTACTCGGTCGGACAGGAGGTATGGCTGTCCACACGGGACATTCCCCTCAAGGGGATGTCTCGTAAACTCTCGCCCAAGTTCATCGGTCCATACAAGATTGTCCAGGTAATCAATCCATCTGCCATACGTTTACAACTTCCTCCGACCCTACGCATCCATCCCATGTTCCACGTCTCCCAAGTAAAACCTGTCATCTCGAGTCCTCTTTCAATAATAAATAGTTTAATCCTGACAATGCTACAAAAATACAAAACATGTGCACATGGTTCTTATAAATGTTTGGTCTGAAACAGAGACAGATGGGGGCAGGTGATAGACTGACTGATGGAAGAAGCAGCAAGTGGTAGAACAAAGTAAGGATGGGTTAATAGATACCTGCATTGTTAATACAATCATAAAATAGAATTTTTCCATATATAGTAAGACAAGGAAGATAGTCCAAGCATATTCCATACTTAAATAACTTTTCTAAGATAAGACCTCTGTCATACAGTTGGGATTTTCATTCAGTAAGCATTTCCTGTAAGAAAGGACTCTGTAGGCAAGTTCAGGCAGTCAACCTGAGCTGTATTACTTCTTCACAAAACATCTTCCAAATAACAAAATGTGAACTTCCTTCTTCAGTCTAGATGTCATGCCCCTTCGCCGCTGCCTGCCTCCTGTCTGCCCCTATCCATTCCCTCCACCAATGCTGTATCTACCCACAGCTTCATATTCCATAGTGCAGGAGACATCCTCGGGGGGCATTAAGAGATTAAAGTGTTACGGTTTTAGCCTAGATGCGGAATCCAAAGTTATTATATATACTCATTGATAACTATGTATTTACCTATGGATGTCATTCATGCTGGCTGGCAATATTTCTAGGTTACCAGTTTTTTTATAAGTACTTCCAAATCTTTTTTTTTCTCTAGGGGTGTAATGATTCATCAAGTGATTCAAGGACCTCGATTCCTAAAATTCATTGAAGCAAATTACCTGCTTTGTTTAATATTACACACACTGCGATGTGAGCGGGTGGCTACTGTTAATGATAGATTACCCTGCTGATACATGATGCCTAATGTGGCTATCAACAATAGAAGAAGACAGCAAAGGGCAAAATGAAGAGTAGATGAAGAGATTTATTTAAACTTTACAAAAAAGTACATTTAAGATTGAGCTGATTGGTATCCACTGAGCCTTTGTCGCAGCAGCTTAGCTCTCAGTCTACTGAATGCTCTCTCACTACCAGGCGTGCTTCTTTGTTTTACGCACTACTTTGTTTTCATTGGTCAACATGGGAGAATAACAAGGGGGATACAGGATGGTATAATTATGTAAAAACAGAAAGAGAGACACAGGCTGCTGCAGAACCAGTAAAAAGTCTACTTCGAGCCGTTTTGAGTCATTAACAGGTCTTGAAAGAGTGGAGTCTAAGCTTTCCAATAAATCCAAACTTGTGAAAATCTAAAGGGAACTGAAGGAGATATGAGTTTTCAGAATCATCTTGAAAGCCATCTGGGTGGTAACCAAAGCTGCTCATTTGAGTACCATTGCACACCTTAGCTTTGCGAGCAGTACTTGTCAAAAGAAATTCATTTCAACAAACTGTA